ATTAGGATTATTTTTAAAGGCATTTAATGTATGTTTCACCCATTTTGTGTTCAGTGTAGCTTCTGTAGTCTAGTCAGTGAATCCATTCTATTCTCTTTTCTCTCCCTGAAAGGAATCTGTGTACTAGCCAAATCTTAGTATGTCGGTGTGTCAAAGCGCAGAACTGAGTGAATGAGTTCGCACGAGTCTAGATGTAAGCACGTGAGCGAATGTATACACGTGTGTTTCTAAGGAGGGGGATGTAAAAGGAGATGTCTGTCTGCCTGATATCTTGGGGGTGTTCAGCAGACTTCCTCTGCAGGTGGGGCAGTGATCACTTGCTGGTTTGAACTAGAGCAAAGAGCACGTTCTCCTGTAACTTGCAGGATTTCATCAATTCAGCCAGGGTTGATGGGCCTGCGGCAGGAGCGGGTGGGTGAGGCTCTGAGGCCTGCCAGGTGCAGGAGGCCAGACAAGATGGCCAGGAGTCAGGACGATCCCTTCTAGCCCTCCGCTCTGAGATCACACCCGTTCTCCTAATGAAAGTTCCTTTTGTGTCTCTCGCTTTCCCCCCAGGTGGCTTCCTAGGCAGTGAGTGGCCCAAACCGAACACGTGAGCCGCTGGGACCCAGTCAATGTTATTTGAGCAGGGTCCCCAGGCCTTGGCGATCCCAGAGAGCAAGATGCAGAAAACCGCGTACTACGATAACTCGGGGCTCTTCGGGGGCTACACCTACAGCAAAGCCGACGCCTACAGCTACAGCTCGGCCCACCAGCCTTACCCACAAGCCGCTCTGGACACAGACTACCCGAGCTCCGCCTGCTCCATCCAGAGCTCGGCTCCCATCCGAGCTCCAGCCCATAAGAGCAGCGAGCTGAATGGCAGCTGCATGCGGACCAACGGCAGCGGCCAAGCAAGCAGTCAGCCCCCGGGTCTAGGCGAGCAGCAGCAGCCGCCTGCGCTGCCCCCTTCTTCCCCACCGAACCCCACCAATGCGGCCCCCCCGAAAAAAACCAAAGGCGGCCCCAATTCCTCCAGCTCCTCCTCCGCCACCATTAGCAAACAGATCTTCCCCTGGATGAAAGAGTCCCGGCAGAACTCCAAGCAGAAAAACACCTGCGCCGCTTCAGGTACAGCGCTCCCCCGCCTAGCTCCCCCCCATCACCTCCCCCAGGTCCGCTAAGCAGCACACGCATCAGCCCGTCCAGAGCCCCGCCCCGCCGGGCACAGTGGGGGGCGCTCAGATCTCCAGCAGGCTCCACGCTGCGGCTCTTGGCAACGTAGAGCGAGGGCCTAAATCGAGTCCTCTGCGGCTCGGGGCCTGTGCCCGTGTCAAGAGCAACTCCGCAGCCCCGGAGTTTGCGGGGTCTTGTCCCGCCCGCTGTGATCGAAGCGTTTGGCGGAGGCGCTGCGCTGCGATGTGTGGCACACAGGCCTGCGCGCTGTCTGGCGTGCAGGGAAAAGCAGCATTTCCTCCCTCTCCGTCTAAACGCCTCAATCTGTCAGCTCTCGCTCGCTCCGAACTGGCTTCCAGGACGGAGCTTTTAGAAACGTAGACCGCACAAGCACTGAAACAGAAGCCAGGTGTTCACCTTTTCCCCGGTCGTGGGAGTCTGACCTCAGATTTCAAAGCGAGAAAGCCAATCCACTTGTTAGCAAGTTTTAAATCCTGCCCTTTCTCCTTTGCTCCGGTTTGGGATGAAAGAAAGGGGCGCCCCTTCCCCTCTTTCTCCATTCAGTGAAATCGAGCATATTCACAAATCCCGCAATATCTAATTTATTTTCACTCCTCGTTATCCAGTGTTGCTCCTTACTATTGACTCCTCCACCTCTGCTTCAGAGCCTGGATAAAGAATCCGGTTTAAGGAGCCTGGACTGCTCCCACTTGAAACAATAGGAATGCTGACTTTGTGCACATTGGGAGCAGGATCGGGCGTAAGGTCAGGGAGAGCGAGCAAGCAAGTGAGAGAGAGGCGTGGACAGAGGGATTTGAATCTGATGCCACTAAAAGCTCCTTGAGGGGTTTCTCAGCGTTATACAAAGCCAGAATAGTTTGCACCCTTATCGTGAATTAATGGGATATGAAGAGAGGTTATAGTGAAATCATCAGTAATCTCTGACACCCTCTTTCGCTTAAAACAGTCTCTACCCTGCCCGTTGTGTCTCATTTTACTTTGAATTGCATCTTGGCAACCTCTCGAGGGCTATGTTACATCAACTCTGCGGGTGCGTGTTGACGCATGGATGTGGTGGATATCCACCAGGGGAAGAGAGCAGGGAAAAGCAAACCCAAAATACATCGGATTCGATCCGGTGCTGGGCAAACCTTTGGCCTGGGTTGGATAGGACAGGGTCTGTGCGGACCTGGGGCGCCCAGCGGCCGTTCCTGGCGCTAGCGAAGCCACTGGCTTCTTCAGACCTGGGAGCGTGGCTGGTGCTCGTTTGGTTTGCGCGAAACAATCTCTCGATCCCTGCCCGGCCCATAGCGGGAGGCTGTGCCAGGGCCTGTAAAGCCTCAACCTGTGTTTGTTTCTCTTCCTTCGGCAGGAGAAAACTGCGAAGACAAAAGTCCCCCGGGCCCGGCTTCCAAGAGGGTCCGCACCGCCTACACCAGCGCGCAGCTGGTGGAGCTGGAGAAGGAGTTTCATTTCAATCGCTATCTCTGCCGCCCGCGCAGAGTGGAAATGGCCAATCTCCTGAACCTGACGGAGCGGCAGATAAAAATCTGGTTCCAGAACAGGCGAATGAAGTACAAAAAAGACCAGAAAGCCAAAGGGATCATGCACTCTCCCGTAGGACAGTCCCCTGACCGAAGTCCACCCTTAAGCGGCCCAAATCACGTAGGATATTCCAGCCAGCTTCCAACAGTCAATAGTCTTAGCTACGATGCGCCTTCGCCAACATCCTTTGCCAAATCCCAGCAAAACATGTATGGCCTGGCTGCGTACACAGCACCTCTCAGCAGCTGTTTGCCCCAGCAGAAAAGATACCCGGGAGCAGAGTATGACCATCACACCATGCAAAGTAGCGGCGGCTTTGCCAATCCCAATTTGCAGGGCAGCCCGGTGTATGTCGGAGGCAACTTTGTTGATTCCATGCCAGCCTCTGGCCCCATGTTCAACATCGGCCATCTTTCCCATCCTTCATCTGCCAGCGTGGACTACAGCTGCGCCGCTCAGATCCCCGGCAACCATCACCATGGACCTTGTGACCCTCATCCTACATACACAGATCTCACTTCTCATCACACGTCTCAGGGAAGGATTCAAGAAGCGCCCAAACTAACGCATCTGTAGTGGACTGGGACGGAGCCAGAGCGCGCAATGTACTCGCGTTTAAATTACCTCACTTTTCTGACGTTACCGTGTTACTTTCCTCTGAGTGCCACCAGTATTAGTGGATTTGTCTCCCCTAGCAGCTATCTTCTTTTTTGCGACTCTAAGTAAGTCAGTGAAAAGGATCCTTTCTTTTCTAGCTGTGTAAAGCATGACAGTGCAATATACTGCAAACCAAGGGACTAATAATCTGGTAATGATGTACTTGAAGGTAAGTCTTCTAGCTCAATTAGTATTAGCAGCGCGTCATGCTGAGGTGTTTTTTAGCCCAATTGTGAACGCTGGCATCTTGCCTGCCTATAAACTTATTTCAGAGAAGTTAATTTATGAATTCTTCAGTAATGTAAGGATTGCATTGAACTAAATGATATGTATTTATTGTTTTAAGCGAGCCATTTTTGTATCATCGATTATTTATCCTCGTCTTACTGTATTTATGTGGATATTTGTAGAGTTTATTCACCATAACTTCGGGAGATTGATTCAGGTCCCTGGTGACTATTGCATTTCACCTATTTAGTCTATTTGGTCTGAACTAGTTGAGAGAGTAGTTTTGAACAGTTGTAACAGTGGCTGGTGTTTGTAGTTGATGTAAGGATTAATTAAGACTCTAAGTCTTTAATAGAGTAAAACAAGCTGTGGCACCACACAAAGAAGCCCTGACACCTTGTTATAAAGTGTATTTATTTCATATTGTCTGGTGCCCTTCGAACAGCTATTTCGCTTTAAAAAAAATAAGCCACCTTTTTAAGTTGGAGGAGTGTCTGTTTCACTAACGCAAGTTGCAAAGCGGACCGCTCGGCCATTTTGTTTGGGATAAACTTCTACATACAAAAACCTCCGAGAGGCTGGTGTTTATTTATTGATTACTCTTGCACACGGTAATCCGGTGGGATACTTTGTTGGCACTGAATTCTAGCTATCTGAAACAGAAAAAGCTAAGAACCGGGAAAAAATAGAAACCGTCCAATAGGAATAATGTAATTAGGGTTTCCATAGCAATCCGAGCTACAGCTGCCCGTCTCCTTTGTTATTTAACCGTTAGTATAAAGACAACAGTATAATAAATTTTTTTAGATATAATCGGAAGCCCGAGCTTAATTTTACATATTAAAAAATGAAAGAAAATTGACAATCAAATATCTACAAATGAAAGAAAACTGCTAAGAGTAGAAACTGAGGTACAGTGGAGAAAAACTATTCCGAGGTGACCACAATAGCTTTCAGTTAGGAAAGTATCTCCCTTCTTGTAATGTTCTGTAGTACACGCTGATACATTTCTTGTGAAAACAAACCTTACTGCCATGCACAGACTATGCCACAAAAGACACAACAAAAATAGAAAGAAGCGTGTTTCCTCCTGTTTATTTACATGGCTGTGTTTAATCTCTTGCCGGCTTCACAACGGTTTTGTAAACGTAGCAATGGTATTAGCAGTGTCAGTAACCATACGTGTTCTTCCGGGAAAAAGTTATTCTCTTATCGCTTTTTAAAGTGTTCAGTTAAGATTCCCATCTTCTGTATTCCCAGCAAAATCGTCCCGACGCATCACTTTTTAGTTTGACAAGTAAACTGCCGCCCCTGCTCCATCCTCTGATGACAAGACCTGGAATTCCTAGTGTGAAAAATATTTAACGTTCTGGTCAACGTAGAAACTCTTTATTTTCTGATAAGTTGTGTTTCGCTGGACAACAATGATCCGAAATATTATTTCGGTTTTCCTCTGTGTTATTTTTCAAATGTCACGTTACGCCGAGGAAAGAAGTGTATCCTTTTGTTAAATTTCAACGTTTCCCCGCGCAGATTTGAATATCCGTGTTGTAGATCTGTAAACAAATCAGAATAAACTACTTTGATCGAAGACATATTTTAACCACTGAGAGACCTACAATTGTTTTCTATGACAATTTACTCATGGACTATTCCCTCAGTTAAGTTATTAATATTTTAAATGAACAATCAATAAGATAAATAGTAATAAACTTTATGCGTGAATTTTACAGATGCAATGCTTTGTGTTACAGTTTGCAGGAAACAGATAAAAACACTGAACTGGCACATGTAGATGATTTTATTTTCTTCAGACTAAAGTATATTTCACGGTGTACACCGATTATGCATTTTTGATTTATAGGTGGAGCCCAGTTAGTATTTTTTGTTACTCAACGTGCATCTTCTGAGTCTGTGAGTGTCTACAGTCTAAGCATTGTCTGCTGTTTAATGGGCTAGACTTCACATAGCCTCTGAGCCGGGTTATATTATGATTAGTTTCCTTAAAATTCATCTTGCCAGGGAAATTATTATAAATACACTTCCCCGTAAAAGGGGGGAGGATTGAGGAAATTGCTTTGGAATAAAAACACAATATTACCGGTGAGCACTGGTACATCATCTCTTTGTATGTCCTGGGGGCAAATGTTCTGCTGTGTGTGGGAGGTGGGGTGGGAGAGGGGTCATGTGATAAATACATTCCGTTTTTTCTGGTTTATTCTGGTAGGAGGCAACTCTGCCGGTATGTACCCCTGGTCACAACCTAATTAGGAGAGGTGATGGAACCTTGTCTATATTGTTGGCGTCTTTACCGTGTTTGTACAGGCACCTGCAATCTGAGAGGGGCACTGTGGCACCTTTTCCATGGGCCACCGTTTAAAACGTCATACGTTACAGAGCCCGCTTTCCCAGCCAACACACGCTCCGCTCCTTTTGAGCACGCAATTAGTTTTCCGAGCCTTGGTAGCCTAAATCAAACAAAGCACGAGCGCCGGGGCTGAGCTGTGTGAGGCTCCCAAACCTTCATTTATTTCCAGGAATGGACCCTCCCCCGGCGCCATCGAAACCAATAGCCTTAGAGCATCGAGCGAGGTCAAGGAGGCTGAAGTTGGTTTTTAAATTCGTGTCGGCATCATTTCAATAAGGCCGGGCGCAGTGCTAGTCAGCGACAGTGCACGAACATTGAAAACTCAACCCCTTCTTACGGGCTACTGAGAGAGAGACCAACATGGCTTAGGTGCGTATCCGGCTCCTTAAAGCCACACGAAGCCCACTGAAGTCAACGAATCGACTCCCCATGATTTCACTTGGCTTTGGATCAGGCTCCACGCGATCTACGTAATAGCTCTTGGCTGTGCCCGTTATGTACTGAGCGAAGAGGAGAGATTTGCTAGGGATTAATTCCTGCGAAAGGAAGTTACTTAATATGGAGCATCTCAGGGAACAATGTGATGTTTTGATAGCGGAGACCACTTGTGATTAAGTTCCACACCATACTAAAAGGTTTTGGGCCTGATCCTATTGCGTGCATATAGTCCAGAGCAAAACTCACCGGGAGCTACTGAAGTCAATAAATGGGGGGCGGAAAATCATCTTTATTGTGGAAGGGAAGTTGGTAACTTTCTGCCCAGTATAATTCATACACTAATTATTTACTATTCCAAACTGAGAGCACAGGGAGAGAGGGGAAAGAGAACTCAGAAATTGCACCTTTCTGTACCTCCTCCCGGGGTGGTTTGTGCTTTTTGTTTTTTGATTACACTCTAGTTCGGCGCCCTCGGTGGGACTAACCGGGGGGACTAACCGGGGCATGCCTGTATGCTGAGGCTGATATAAAGGCTGGGCTGGTGCGTATGATGCTTAATGCTCTTTGGGCTGAAATATCATTTTCAGTCTGTACAAAGTCTGCTCAGAGTCTTGATTCCAACAAAAATAAAGGAGACCTTTGAGATTCCGGAGCACACTTCACGCTTTGCTATTATTGTCACATCGTCATCCAGTTAGGCCACGAAGCCTCCATTACAATCCACAGAACTGAGTAAGAGAAATAGGGGAACCCGCCTCCATACCAAATCCTGGAAGTATAAAGGCAGATACCCCTTGAGCGTTACCAGCAAATTCCTTTTGAATGCAGGGACTGCAAAGATCAATGCCCTCTCCCCAGCTAAGGGCATTTAAACCAGAGGCAGAGGCGCAGAACTGATGTGTGAAGCTCTGCGGGCTGGTAACCAGGCACTATGCAAGATATTTAGCATATTTAGCACGCCTAAGATACTGACCACCTTCACTACTCGTCATTCCCTTGGTCTGTCTCACTGGACACAACTCCTATAGAGCTTACATTCAACACAGGGGCCCTTGCAAAAGCGGCAGATTTTTCTGCAACCCCTGGTTAAATGTCCTGTCGGCGGGGGGACGTGATCGGGGCTGGTGAAAAACGGGTGCAGACTGAAATATCTGTAAAGTACCACAGGACCGATGTATTTGACAAAGCTCAGAGAAATCCCTATCTGTATAGCCAAGCTTTGGCTGGGGACTTTGACATGATCTCTGTGAGAATCTCGCTAATTTGCCTCGATACTTTATAGGCACAATGCCTGTAAATGGTTATTTGAGAAATAAACGTGGAAGTGGCAGTCATTACATCCCGGCCTCCGGTTTGTCACGTGGTCCTCTTCTTCTGGAAACCCTTTCTTTCTGTTTGAATGTGGAAGTGCAGCCTACCATGCTGAACAGGAAAATACAGTGTAAGCCCATGGACAAAGAAATAATGCACGAAACCGTTCTCTCATATAGGTGAGGAGGGAAAACTTTTCCTCCCCTCCCCCCGGAGGATTTTTACAACCTCAGGATTTTATATGTGAGGTTTGTATCTGTTGTAGACACATCGCCAAAATGTCTAGAGTTGCAGGGATCACCATGCTTTGAGTCTCCCTCAGATGGATTTATAATTAGCTCCCTTGCATGCTGGTTAAAAGAAAGCATCAGTAATAGCCTTACACTCCAACTGGCGGGAGCTCTCCAGATTTGGAAGCCCTGACGTCCCTCCCCCGCCCCAGTCCTGTGTCTGTGCTGTTTGGCTTCCAAAGCTGCCATTCGTTTTCAATGCGAAGGCCCCGTGGAATGAGGGAACAGCCTTCGCAGCTCTCTGAAAAGACAGCTGCAGATTTGGCCTGGACTCAGGTCTTAAGAGATGGACAGGGCAAGTTTTGGCGAATGGAGTTGAAATAGCAGGAGGGATCGGGGTAAAATAACTATCAAATCATGTGCACAGCAGCAACCTAGAAAGGAAGCTGGAGGAGACAACCCTGCCAAACAGTCTTAAAATCCCTCTATTAAGAGTGTGCCAATAAGGTCAGAGCTGCAGAGGTGGCATGTACATAGCTGTAAAACCCTGCGAAAGTTATTGATGGAGACAGGACTCCAGAGAGGCGGCTAATTTTGAAACCCTGGTAGTGAATTGTTTGTAATAAAGCCGCTCACAAAGCAGACTTGGGTTCCTTGCCCTACGCCAGCCTGGTGGAAAACCAAGGAAACCCTCTGACAGTGGTTGGAAGGTAGATTCACGGGCAAAAATTAATTCAGCGAGAATTAAACAGGAGAACAGGCACCTATGGCATACAAGGGGCACTGTTAAGGTCCAGTCTTGCTGTCTGGACTCACGCCAGTGGCTCCACCGAATCGCTGAGCTCAGACTTGATTGGGCCCTGGCCGAGCCACACTCAGCAATGTGCAAATTGGGGACATTCTGCCTTAGGGTTCACATTCGGCAACAGACTCCCCTGGATTTGTTGCTGTTAAACAAAGGTATCTGAGCAGTTAAATAAAAGCCTGAAGACGAAAGAAACAGATACCGCCGGTCACGGTTCGTGCCTGTCTCTTTCTACTTCCAAACACCGCCAGTGAGCCCCCCCCGGAAAGCCCCTGCAAATGCTCTCCGAGAACTGCGGGGCATGGCTTGCTCTGTTTCCCTGTAACGCTGGCTTGAGCCAGGGGAGCCTTTGAAGCCCCTTGCTAGGAACAATAGCTCTGGGGCAGACAGGCGGCACAAAGACGGTCGGAGCACGTGGTGTTCTGGAGTTCTGACCCCGCAAGTTCTGTGGATTTTTACAAGCTGTGGGAGCGGCTAGCGCAGAGGGGCGTTGGCCCAGGACACTTTCTGGACACTAGCTATGGAGTTCATCACTGGTCAGGCAAAAACTCGCCATTTCCAAGGGAGCGGTAGCAGCGGGCAGGCTGCGGGCCTTGCTGGGGCGGGAGGAAAGAAGGGGGAGATTGGTTCTATTAAGAGTTCATCAATCACACAATGGGCACTTTTCACTCGACAGCGGTTCCTCCTACTTCAGCTCGAGTCCGGGCCAGCTGGGATTCGACCAGCAACCGCAGCCTGAGGAGACAGAAACCGAAGCTCACAATACCGCAGTACCGAAATGCCAAAAGTGACCCTGTGGTCGGGATAACAGCCGCCTCAGACTGCCCTCCCTCCCCATAATTTTGCCCCTGAAGCTCATACACAGCAGTGCAGCCTGCCCAGGATAAACAAGGTGGCCAGGTGACCTTTGCCTACCTTATTTAGATTGAAAGCCATTAGAGGTTCGGTCAGTGGTTCTGTACGCGTGGGGGGTACGGGTGCCTCAGGGGGTACACAGGGGTCTTCAACTCATTTACACATGTGCATAGTTTTACAACAATCTACATAAAAGTATTATCGACCTCAGGACAAACTACAATCCCATGACTCTCTCTTTTATAGAGCTCTGCGTAGAATACACGGACACGGAAGTACAAGACGTACGTTCCAATTGTTACACATTTATAAGGCAAATTGAGAAAGGAAGCCATTTTCCAGTAATAGTGTGTTGGGAGAAATTTGTATTTTTCATCTGATGTTATAAGCAAGTAGTTTTAAAATGAGGTGAAACGTGGTGGTACCCAAGATAAATACACTCCTGAAAGGGGAACAGTAGACTTCAAAGACTGGAGCCGCTGCTCAACGTGATAGCACTGAGAACATCTTAATTGGCTCCTATTTTCCTGCTCTCCCCCTCACTTATAA